AATCGGATGGATAAGTGACTGCTTCCACTGGTCTGGCACAACTCCTATTTTCAAGGACAGATTAATGAATTTTAATAAAATATAACTAGATTTGTCTGAGAAATGTTTGATTATAGCATATCCAATGCCTGAAGGACCTGGCGCTGAATTCGTATTTACTAGTTCTAGTGTTTGGTGCCATTCTCCTATTGTTATCTCGTCCATTAGGTTAGCCATACATTCAGTGAATTCCCCTTTCGGCCTATATATATTACTCCAGAAAACGTCCTGTTCTATTGACTTAGTATTGCGTTTTCGTAGAATTCCTGCAAAAGTATCTTTTGCATGGGTTCTAATTGTATTAGGATCAAGGGCTAATCTAACACCTTCATTCTCATTAGAAATTACTGCTCTATCAATTATAATGTGTTCTTTAACGTTGTCTTGTGTGGAGTGTAACCATTTAGGAATATCTGAATGTATTATATTGCACCGATTTTCTATACTATCTTGGATTTTACGTAGCCGTTGTGCTTGTAAATAGTTTTTATCTATTTTGATTCTCTTTTTAAATACTTCTTTAGCATTCTTTATCCATGTGTCACTGAAGAGATCGTGTGTAGGAATAGTAAGTTCCTTATGATTATCAATAAATTTGTCATATTCTTTCCTGTTGTAATCTTTGTTGTATTTATTGATTCTATTTATCCAAAAATTAATCCATTTATCATCTTTATTGTCAATGAATCCCTGATCCTTGCTTATTTTCCTCATTAAACTTCCCAGTTTAGTGGTATGTCACATGGTTTTATCTACAAATGATAATTTATGTCTTATATTGCAACTTCCCAGATATTTAACTGTCTTCATAGGCAGCTCTATATTCACCGCTATTGATATTGCGCTCATGATATTGTTCCAAAGCTTATTAAATTTACATCTTATTTTTTCCCCATCATTGTCCGTTTCATATCCTAGTTGTATTTCATGATTGAATTCATCGATTAATTGTTGAAAGTCTCATGCCTCTATTTCTCTGTCTAATGTTTCGGTAAAATTCTCCCATTGTAAATTAGTAATTTTACTGATGTCCACTATGCGATTGTTCTGATGTCTATCAACTAAATTCACATCCCGTGTCTGATCTGGGACACAAAGCCGGAAGTTGTTCTTAATAAATCCTGATATATTTACCGTTGTTGAAATAATACTATGATGGCTATTTGTGATCATCTGTGATGAGTGCACTGAGAATTCTACTGGAATAACATCGGCCTCATGTGTGATCCAGATTTAATCGATTTTTGATCTCGATATAGGGCTTGATTTATCCTTATTTTTATCCCATTTCTCATGTGTAAATAGCTCTGTATCCGGATAAAGAGCTCGGCAAACATCATAAAGTCCCAGTTGCGCTAACTGTATCAGAAATTGTGATCCTGGTTGTTCAGTACTAGGCGAGCGATCTATTTTATTGTCAATTGTGTCGCTAAAATCGCCTAATACAATGTGTAGTACTACGGTGTTGTGAATTGATCGGTTATGTCCCTCTATAGCCATTTTCAATTTGTCAATCAAGCTTTTCCTCATGTCTTGATTGTTAGGAGCGGCATATATCAACCAGATCCATATCTCTCTCTGTATGAATAAGAATTTAACTATTATGATATATGGAGATATGCGTTCTACTGCATAGTAATGTTTCATCCATCTGTTATGGATCACAAGTGCCGTTCCTGATCCTTTGGTTTTTTGATCTCGTTCACTGAATATTATTGAGTAAACCTTTGACTCAATGTCTTGGTTTATAAAGTATTCCTGACGATAGTCTATATTAGTTTCTGATATAGCCATAATATCGATGTTCTTTTCTTCGATAAATTCCAACAAACTGTGAAGTTTTTGTATAGACGGAGTACTAGCTATTCCATCTATATTATGTGCTGCTATGTGCAAATCTAAATACATTGAATCATTCGTTTCTTGATTATTTAGATTCCCCTTAGTAAACCTTAACCTCTGTCTTGCTAAGAATATGTTAACGTTTTCTTCATTTGTCAAAGATTCGACTATTTCCTCTAAATTGTCTGGATCTTTTTGGCAATCTCCTTTTTCATACACTAATTCAGTTGTTTTCGGGTGTGTATTTCCTGTATTTATTCTGCCATTCGTCTTATGTTTGTTATGTGTTTGTTGTGATTGCTCATTACTCGCGTGTTGTATGGAGGACGACGCGTTGTTGTTTTGATTGTTTTTGAGAAAAATGCTCGGAACTTGGCATTGTTCTCTACCTTTCAGCCTTTCTCCGTGTGTAACTCTATTGTTTATCATCTTGTATAACCTTCGCTTTTGTTTTTTATTTAGGCCAGCTAAAGAAAAATCTCGTCTTTTCCTTTATTAATATCTATATTATTTATATATAAAAATAAAGTAAATCATATTTCTGCATAAATTTTAATATTTTGTGTCAAATTTTTTTGTAAATCATTAAATTTAAGTCAAAATGTGTATTAACACAAAATTTCAATATATATTTCTTATAAAAATTTTGGATTTTTACTATACAAATATTATTTATTACAATTATTTATATATAAAAATAAAGTGAATCATATTTCTGCATCAATTTTTAATATATTTATATCAATTTTTTTTTGTAAATCATTAAATTCAAAATAAAATGTATATCAATGCAAAATTTTAGCATATATTTCTTATAAAAATTTTGGACTTTTACTATGCAGAAATCATTTATTACAATTATTTATATATAAAAATAAGGAGCTTGCTATTTATCACTGGTGGCAGTGTTGTACATGGGACATGTCCCGCCAAAATTTTAATGTTCCAGACATTGTCCTGTCCCATCCACATCCCATCCAAAAATTGTCCAAATTTACAATTTGTCTTATTAAGACAACACCTAATAGGCTATAATTTATAATTAAGATCACATAATTTTAATATCCCAATATCCTAGACATTGCTAAAATCTTTAGACGTGTCCTGGACTATCCCGTCCTGTCCCATCCATGAACATATCCCGTCCCTATGACAACACTGACTGGTAGTGATCATCACCGGTATCACATGATTTTATAAAATTTGTCCAAAATTAAGGAATTGACATGTTAATTTCTTTTTATGGGTTTAAATGATATTATACAATCCAAAAAAAGCAATTTTATTTTTCATCAAAAATGGAGAAATACATTATACAAGATTCCAAAAAAGGAAATTTTTATGTAGATCACTTAATTCTGGCCAAAATTTTAAAAATTATGTGATACTGATAATGATCACTGCCGGTGATTTGTAGCAATTTTATAAAAATAAAGTGAATTATATTTTACATCAATTTTTAATATATTTATATTAAAATTTTTTTGTGAATCATTGAATTCAAGACAAATTAAGGCAAAATTTCAATATATATTTCATTTAAAATTTGGACTTTTCTATATCATTATTTTTATATGTAAATAATTGCAATAAACAATATTAATATAGTAAAAGTCCAAAATTTTTATATGAAATATATACTGAAATTTTGTATTGATACTCATTTTATCTTGAATTTGATGATTTACAAAAAAAATTTGACATGAAATTATTAAAAATTCATGTAGAAATATAATTTACTTTATTTTTATATATAAATAACAGGATCTCGGACATCACATATATAACTCATAACTGATCTGCATGAATTTAAGTACTTTTTGCTCCTGCTAAAATAGATCTAATTTGCTAAAAATCAAATTATCACATTTCAAATTTATATTAATTTGCTAAAACTCAAAATATGAGTTAATAATTTTTTCTTTTATTATCAATAAAAAAATAAATAATTAATATAAATTAAACTGCCAATTTTTATAATTAAAATATGTAGATTATAGATAAAATAATAATTAATAAAAATAATAAATTAAATAAATAATTATTAAAAAATAAAATGTTGCGAAACTAAACGGACGGTTTTTGGCCCGCATTATGCTTAATTTTGGCCGGAATTATACTTAATTTTGGCCAAAATATAACCCGGACCCCGAAACTAATATTTTTAAAAATATTATTTATAAAGTTAAAAAAAAAGGATAAGTTAAATTTAAAAAAAAGTACCAATTTGCTCAAATATAAAATATGACTTTGTAAAATCAATACAATTTGCTAAAACTCATAATTATGACTATTAATTAATTTTCAATCAATTTGCTCTATCTAAAATTATGAGTTTAACCTAATTTTGATTGAATTTGCTAAAACTCAAATGTAAGTTATATATGTGATGTCCGGAGTCCTTAAATAACTGTAATAAATGATATTCACATAATAAAAGTTCAAAATTTTTATAAGAAATATATACTGAAATTTTGCATTGATGCACATTTTAATTTAAATTTGATGATTTACAAAAAAAATTTGACATGAAGTTATTAAAAATTCATGTAAAAATATGATTCACTTTATTTTTATATATAAATAATTGTAATAAATGATATCCACATAGTAAAAGTTCAAAATTTTTATATTAAATAGATACACATTTTATCTTGAGTTTAATGATTTACAAAAAAAATTTGATATGAAAATATTAAAAATTTGTATAAAAATGTGATTCACTTTTATTATATGAAAAATTATATATTTTAAAAATGTAAAAAATACACTTATATTGTATTTAAATTTTAATTTAAATATATTTTAAGTAGAATTTAAGTACTTGAACAAAATATAAGTATATTAAAAATATATTTTAAGAATATTTTAAGCATGTCGACGAGTAGGCTATTTTTTCGATCGTTTAAGGTTTATTAGAAATGTAATCTCCCCTTTATATTTTTTTTTATTTTTTTTTATTTTTTTAGCTAAGGTAATGCAATTTGTGAGTTTATTAATTATATGTAAGAATATAAAAAAAACATCTGTTATATAACTAATTTATTAAAACTTCAAACCAGTTTCCCATCCATAAGATTGCTCCTATAAACTAAAATTAAAGTAAAAAATTCAAATACACTTTTTTAATAAATTTATCTTTATTTTATATATATATATATATATATTTTTTAATGATTTATATATGCTTTATTGATATGTAGTTTATATACTATACAAATAAATTATCATAAGCTATATCCACCCAGTTGATCCGCTTTTGGTAGAAATACAATAAACAAAAGATAGCGGCTATGAAATGAAAGTTAACTGGCCGAATGATATTAATGATCCTAAAACATGGATGCAATACAGGCTTCAGGTCCCCGTATAAGCATATATGGATGATACGGTATTTTTAGAATCCTCAAAATACAAAAAATAGTAGATATTGCAAATGAATTCTACTTGATTAATGATATTGATATTAACATTAAGAAGTCAGAAATGATAATCATCAACCTGACAGTGGAAAGACACGAATAAACCATTGAACTAGATCAGGATCATTCTATAGTTCAAGCCACAGATGATGAAATAAGGTATCTCAAGGTCTGGTTCTTCAACAAACTGAATAGGCGACGATGGATGCAACGCCTGTCCACTATAGTAAAGAACTTTTGTGATACAGTCCGTAGGAAATTCGTTCCAGCTGGTCAATGTATATACTTAATCAATAGGGTATTAATACCTAGATTGACATACATAGCTCAAATCATGACATTGACAGAGCAAGATTGGAATTACGTATTTGCTCCAGTAATGAAATTGGTTAAAAACTGGATGAAATTACCTAAGAATACACCTTCGTCATTATTGTTTTATGAGGGTGTCTCATCAGTTTGGATCATCTATGGAAAATCTATTGCATCAATATTATAACAGATTTAACGATTAGACTGAATAGTGATTCACACGCAGCGATATCTACACATATTAGACTCAGAGATGCGCAGCTTAAATCACTCATCACTGATCCGATTTTTGACTGCGATCTTTACGTAATGCCTTGGATAAAACCTCAAATTCAGAAAAACGTTTCATTTAATGTTTTGGTAATAGGCAAAGCTCTCAACATATCAATGGCGATAAACCTGATTGATAGATCAACTTGAAGTATTTCAGAAGGAAAAGAGCCATTATTAGAGTTCTTTAAGCAATATCTGCTTACGAAGTACATATACTGGATCAACCAAAGCTCACATTACCCAATATTCTATATTGATCAATTATTTATTAGGGGTAAATATCTTATAACATGGAAGCAATACCGTAAATTAGCACTACTCCCAATATAAAAAAGGGTAGCTAGATGGTATCGTGAGGTGGCCCATTTGTGCACATCCAGAATTGATAACATAACAGTAACAGATGATCTGGAACTTGCTGAAGTTAATTATTGAGCATTTTTACTGGACATTATACCAGACGCGCATCGTAAACAAGTTATTTTTATTCAGAAACCCCTGGCTGATTCAGATGCATGATTAATAGGCAAAATTAACAAGATACGACATCACGTACAGGGATTTCAGTAAATTATCGTCCGAGATACAATGATAATGGTGTAATTGGATGGCAGGACATGTGACGATCCATACCAGCTTACTGTTGTAAAGTGGCAATATTAGATAAAGGATTTAATATGCGTGGCTGGAGTTTTCCTAGTGAATGGCTGTCATCAACTCATCAACCTAACATCACGATACTTGAAGATAAGTTACCAATAGTATCAGCTCAAAACCCTATAATTAGCCTACCATTGGTTCAGAACATATGGGTTCACAGATGGATAGATGATGATATCCTGAAAGCACAACTAATGGATATTAGAAATAAACTACTAGCAGAGAGAACATCGGTAGAATATTATACAGATGGTTCGTTCAGGCCAAGCACCCCTACATCAATGGGTAAACAAGATCCCAATTTAGTGTATACAGACATGGGTACAACGTTTTGTGTTAATAATGAACCTGCTTTGTCAGTCCAAGCAAATGTATCACTATGGCCCTCTTCTACACGTTCAGAATTAGTGGCTATTTTTCTGGCATTACTCACAGGTCCTATGAATGCTAAAATCAAGATTTATACAGACAGCCAAAGCATCATTTACAAGATTAACAATCAACATAATAAATCGGACAGAAAACTATTGAAGCAGTTTAATTCTTTATTATTACTTAAGATAGATATTTTTTTACAGGAAAAAAAGATGAATCTAGTATTGGTGAAAGTTAAGGGACATAGTGGAGATGTTATGAATGAAATGGTAGATGAATTAGCTAAAAACACAAGTAACAGCAGCTGTTACTTCAACAACAGGTTTAACTATAGCAATAGGACAGTTAGATTTTTTCCAATTTTTAAACAGATTCCAATTGAATACAACTTAAGAAAATTTATCAAAACTCTAATGAATACCAGAGTGGCAGCAGAATGGTCAATGCTAAAAACCAATGGACATGGAATACCAATTGCCTGGAACATAACTTGGAATTTAATTCATAGATATAAAGGGTTTAATTGTATTTCAGTTAAAAAACATTGGCATTTAATATTTATTATTAAACTATTTGCTAAAATTCTCCCTTTAGGTACTACTCTAATACAGCGAAAACCAGATATATATAAAGATTTTGTTTGTTCTAGGTGTAATGCTAACAAAGAAGAAGACATATATCATTTTATTGAATGCAATGCCAATAAGGATCTATAGCCTGTAATTAAAAGCAGAATGCAAGATGATGTAATTCATATAATTCAAAAATAGAGTAATATGTCAAAAAATACATCTAAGGCTATAAGAGAAAAATTAGACCAGATACTAGGATCTCAACATGACAACAACAAATTTATTGACTTTTGCTTTCTTGCTTTGGAAACTAAAGTTAACACTAATTTTTCCAAAGTATCAAAACAGTTATTTGGATTTTCAGAGTCAACAAACATTTTATTTTTGGCCTCACTTCTGGACTCCTTTATTATTCATTTTAAAGAACTAATTTGGCTGCCAAGATGTAATGCTACTATTGCATGGGAAAAGGCTAGAAATATTAGAAGAAAAGACAAGTTAAATGAATCTGAATATATGGATCATTATTTAAAATCCTCTCACCAACAGGATAATCATTCAAGACAGGATAAACATCTCTCAAAGAAGAATAATTTACCAATTTCACAGAAAGGTCAAACAGTAGTACTTGATGATATTCTTTTTGAGCTGGATTCAGTACAATCTGAAAACTCAGTGAATGAAAATTTCATTTTATCAAAGTACTATAGAATGGGAAAAAAAGCTCAGGATCAGATGTGCTTACTGATTAGTAATAACTGGTAATATAGTTGGGCTTACAAGAAGACAAAAAATATTATTGATAATGTTATAGCAGACCTAATAACAATATAACTATTAATATTCTGAATTTAAATACAGCAATTCTGAAAGGAATAAGGAATGGGAAAAAAAAAAAAATATATATATATATATATATAATATATAATATATAATAATAATAATAATATATAATAGATAGATAAATATAGTATTACTAATTTTTATTTTTTTATTTGTTTTAGCATTTTGATGATTGCATCCTTATGGGTGGATATAGCTCATAATAATTTGTTTGTATGGTATATAAACAGGACCCCAGATATCTAATATAAAGGTTATAATGGACTTTTGGCCAAAAACACCACTTTTTGCTGAAACTCAAAAAATCGTTTTTTGTAAATATCTCAGCATCCAGTAATTCAATTTTAATGAACTATTTTTTATTTTGTAGCCCTCATTTAGCTCTACAATTTAAAAAAAAGTTCATCAAAATTGGACCACTGGATGCCGAGATATTTACAAAAAACGATTTTTTGAG